TTGCGAGACGGTCTCGGGTCATGGTCGGTCGGCCGGCCGTCCATTGTGATTAGGTTTTCACTTGTCTCTTGAAGTGCAGATTTCGTGGCAGGCACAGCACTTTGTGAACCTCCATGTGCAGATTTCGTGGCAGGCACAGCACTTTGTGAACCTCCATGTGCAGATGTCGTGGCAGGCGCAGCACTTTGTGAACCTCCAGGTGCAGATTTCGTGGCAGGCACAGCACTTTGTGAACCTCCAGGTGCAGATGTCATGTCAGGCACAGCACTCTGTGAACCTCCAGGTGCAGATTTCGTGGCAGGCACAGTACCTTGTGAACCTCCAGGTGCAGATTTCATGTCAGGCACAGCACTTTGTGAACCTCCATGTGCAGATTTCGTGGCAGGCACAGTACTTTGTGAACCTCCATGTGCAGATTTCGTGGCAGGTGCAGCATTTTGTGAACCTCCAGGTGCAGATTTCGTGGCAGGCACAGCACTTTGTGAACCTCCATGTGCAGATTTCGTGGCAGGCACAGCACTTTGTGAGCCTCCATGTGCAGATTTCGTGGCAGGTGCAGCACTTTGTGAACCTCCATGCATAGAGTTCGTAGCAGGCGCAGCACTTTGTGAACCTCCATGTGCAGATGTCGTGGCAGGTGCAGCACGTTGTGAACCTCCATGTGCAGATTTCGTGGCAGGTGCAGCACTTTGTGAACCTCCAGGTGCAGATTTCATGTCAGGCACAGCACTCTGTGAACCTCCATGTGTAGATTTCGTGGCAGGCACAGTACTTTGTGAACCTCCAGGTGCAGATTTCGTGGCAGGCAATGTGCAGATTTCATGGCAGGCGCAGCACTTTGTGAACCTCCATGTGCAGATTTCGTGGCAGGTGCAGCACTTTGTGAACCTCCATGTGCAGATTTCGTGGCAGGCACAGCGCTTTGTGAACCTCCATGTGCAGATTTCGTGGCAGGCACAGCATCTGGCGAGCTGGAAGCTGAGAACTGGCGGCTCTTGTAGTACAACTTTAGTACGTGGAGCAAGTTGTGAGCTGGAAGCTGAGAACTGGCGACATTGTAGTACAACTTTAGTACGCGGAGTATCTGGCAAGCTGGACGATGAGAACTGGCGACTTTGTAGTACAACTTCAGTACGCGGAGCAATCTGTGGAGCTGGAAGCTGAGAACTGGCGACTTTGTAGTCCAACTTTAGTGCGCGGAGCAATCTGTGGAGCTGGAAGCTGAGAACTGGCGACTTCGTAGTACAACTTTAGTGCATGGAGTATCTGGCGAGCTGGACGAGGAGAACTGGCGACTTTGTAGTGCAACTTTACTACGCGGAGTATCTGTGGAGCTGGATGGTGAGAACTGGCGACTTTCTAGTACAACTTTAGTACGCGGAGCAAGCTGTGGAGCTGGAAGCTGAGAACTGGCGACTTTGTAGTACAACTTTAGTACGCGGAGTATCTGTGGAGCTGGATGGTGAGAACTGGCGACTTGCTAGTACAACTTTATTTAGTACGCGGACTCATGGCTTTTGTTGCTGATGCGGAGATCGTCTCTCGATTCTTTCTCTATGTGAGACGTGGGGATCTACAAGGACTCCACACGTGGGTCCCACTCGTCATACACCACTCATCATTCACCACTCGTCATACACCCCTCATCATACAAGACTCATCATACATCACTCATCATACACCACTCATCATAACCCAACACTGGTTGCAGTTGATTGTTTTGTTAGCAGGTCGGTTTGTACTTAAGGTTGAAGTTTTGGGCGCAGTTCATACTGACAGTATTTGGTTGCATTTATGCGTGACAGGTTTTACATGCCAATTCGGATTCCATGCACTTTGATGTGTGGTATGAAAGGCCTGCCGCCACTGAAGAGTGCCACGGTGGGATGTGTGTCGATGTGGACCGCATCCTTGGCAAGTCGTGGTGGCCGGATATGTGTCATCTCTCGCAGGGGGCACACACACACACCTTACACACGTGTTATCCCGTGGGTCAAAAGTCCGGAGCGCGTGCGTTTGACTGGAGGACGCGCATGTTGGAGAGAACGTGGACACTCCTATAGGTCAGTTTCTTCTTCTAGGAAACTTCCGCCGCCGCCTTGCCGGGGAACTACTTGTAGCTTCTTGTTACTACTAGTAAGGCACTTGTTACTACTAGCGTGGCACTTGTTTCTACTAGTAAGGCACTTGTTCCTACTGGCTTCTTGTTACTACTAGTAAGGCACTTGTTACTACTAGCGTGGCACTTGTTTCTACTAGTAAGGCACTTGTTCCTACTAGCTTCTTGTTACTACTAGTAAGGCACTTGTTACTACTAGCGTGGCACTTGTTTCTACTAGTAAGGCACTTGTTCCTACTAGCGTCCTTGTTACTACTAGTAAGGCGCTTGTTACTACTAGCGTGGCACTTGTTTCTACTAGTAAGGCACTTGTTCCTACTAGCGTCTTGTTACTACTAGTAAGGCACTTGTTACTACTAGCGTGGCACTTGTTTCTACTAGTAAGGCACTTGTTACTAGCATGGCACTTGTTTCTACTAGTAAGGCACTTGTTCCTAATAGTTTCTTGTTACTACTAGTAAGGCACTTGTTTCTACTAGTAAGGCACTTGTTCCTAATAGCTTCTTGT